CCACATCAATCTCAAAGGTAGCCCCACGTAGAGCACATTATGGTAGTCTAATCACGAGATTACAAGCTCATGGAACAGAGTGGTGAGGGCCCCAACATCAAGAGAGGGATGCAGCTGGGTGATCTGCCAAAGATGGAAGTAAGTGGTGTGGACCACTGACACTACCTGAGTTTCCATGGTAAGCGCCAGATCAAGATGTACCCCCAAGCTGCAAACCTCACTCTTCGTGGTGAGAGTCAACCCCCCAAAAGAGAGGAATTTCCCAAACCACTGATGGTAGGTCCGCCCGCTCACTCTTCGCTGTGAGAGTCACACACACACCCCAAAAGAGAGGAATTTCCCAAACTGCTGATGGTAGGTCTGCCCACCCTCAGGACCTCCGTCTTGTCTGGGTTCAGCCTCAGACCATTCACCTGCATCCATCCCAGTACGGCATCCAGACAGTGCTGAAGGGACAGAATGGCATCCATTGTTGTAGGAAAAAAGGAGATGTAGAGCTGGGTGTCATCAGTGTACTGATGACACCCAGTCATCAGTACCCAGCCACCAAGCCCCACATTCCCTGATGACCTGACCCAGCGGCCTCGTGTAGAGATATTAAACAGCATTGGGGAGATAATCAAACCCTGCGGAACCCCACAACTGAGATTCCACGGAGCTGATGAGATGTAACAAACCAGAAAACATCCTCAGGAGCTACATTTCAGTATCCATTCCACACTGGAACCAGCATTGTATAAAACAGTCCAGAATCGGAACTTCCAAGTAGGACAGCATGACAAGATTAAGCTACATTCCAGTATCCATTCCACACTGGAACCAGCGTTGTATAAAGCAACCCAAAATTGGAACTTCCAAGTAGGACAGCATGACTTCCAAGTAGGACAGCATGACAAGATTCACTTTTTTCATTGGACTAGAAAGGACGGATGTACCAAGTCACAAAGCAGCCCCAAGAACCACATTTCAGGGCATATTATGGGCCCAGGTTTCATGCTTCCAAGATTGATGACACCACCAGTCCACCATTAATAACTGGATGAGAGCAATATATTGAGCCACTGATCTTCTGCGGGAACCACAAGCCTGAGTTCACTGTGCAAATTCATGTCTCAGCAGCAATGTGTTTCTTTAGGGATTCTGTAATTCTTTACCATAAGAAGGCAACTCTTCATACAGCAATTGTTGGCTTAAATCCTCTGACATGGGGAATTTTAAATATATCTGATATAATGAAAACCATGTTGTAATTAAAACCACACAGTACTAGAATATCCTGGCCCCAAGTTTATCCCAGAGATACAGGTCATTCAGTACACAGAGCTTGCCTTCTTTAAAAAAAAAAAAAAGAAGAATGCATTTTTTTAATACATAGTGATTTCATCTTAGAAATCAAGCATGGTCAACTTAACAACAAACAGAAAATGCTGTTCTACCAAAACCTTCCAACCACCATTCTTCATTATAACAAGGCATGCAATTTTGATTGTATCTTTTCTTGTTTATTTTACTCAATAGCTGTACAAAATGAATTTCTTTCCTTTGATGGATCTCACATATCTGATCTGGCTTTTACAGCACTTACACCTTTATTTTCACAACCCTTTGCCCATTTTTTTTGTATAACCCAGAACCAACATTTGGCTCTTCAGACAGTGCTATTGTTATATTCTTCAGAAAGAATCCAATAACAGATGCTTAACAGAGCTGGCCCATCTTGATTGTGACCATTTTGTCTTAATAAAGTTCATATCAGGGTTCATAATGTCACCTTTCTCCAGTAGTCACAGTTTGTTCAGAACCACTGAGGCCATGCTAAGCAGTGATCATACTAGAGCTTTTTTTTTCTTGTGTAAGTCTTTCAAGGGTGGGTGGGTGATAATTGTGTTTTTGCTTGGTGGCTTAATGCAGGTAATTTCGCTCCTGAATTTTCAATAGGGGGCTATTAATAAAGGAATACCGTTCATGTTTTCTGCATAGGTGACTGAAATAATATATTGTATGTGAGACACTATGTATGTTCAAGTAAGATTATGAAATCTATTCCAGATGCCAAAACATTTGGCAAAGCAAAGACTGCATTTATCCCAGTCTCTGACAGAATATTTTGGCATGTGATTTATTCTTCTATAATTTTCATCAGTAATTAATTTTCCTGGTGTCCCTCTCACTGGAGATGTCAACAGAGAAGGATACTGATCTCCCAGTTGTGCACAATATAAAAGCTAAGACAAGTATTTCAAACTAGTTGCATAAATTCCACTTTCCGGGAAATAGTTTGCCAGGAAAATCATATTGCAGAGGAGGTCAGCTGGACATAGAAAAGTCAAAGACAATATTGTACCCCCTGAAGAGGATCTCCAGGGATAGGATTGTTGGGGTTTCTCTTTGGCAAAAGAGCATATAATCATCAGTTCTTGAAATCTCACATATGCTATTAGCCAAGAAGCAAAATGTGATCCAAGTTGTGTACTTTATTGTCTGCTATGGAGGCATAGTGAGCAATGTAGATACAAATGTCCGGTTAAAGCAATGGGCTGTTGTAAACATGTCCTTCTATAGTATGACACTAATGAGGACACCAAATAATTATATTTGGTAATGTTTTCTATATGTAAGGGAAATTTGGGGCGTAAGGCTCCACCTTCATTAAAGGTTGTTAATCTTTGCTTTCTTGCCCTTCTATATAAAAACAAGAAACCATAAGATTATCCTTCTTGGAAGTTATTTTTTTGATAATTTTGATGAGAATTCTTCAATAGGCCACAACAAACTTTTCACAAATTGCACAACTGAATGAAATGATGATAGTGGCTGCCTTGCGGCATGGACTTTTAAAGGTTAGAAGTACTGAACAGGTATTGTGCACCTTTTGAACCATCAACCAGTTATTCTGTGCTTTCTTTCTGTGTGTGTTTTGCTTCTCAAGTGGAAACGATGCAAGGCTTCTGCAGAGGTATTTTGCACAACTTATGGATAAATTTGTCAGAAAAAAACCTTTGTCTTGTTCTCACCATAAAGAGGCTTGAAAACCTCTCCTTTAAAGTGTCTCGTTTTCATTGCAATGGATTTAGCCATACTGTTTATTTATTTATTTAATTTATACCCCGCCTATCTGGTCAATTTGACCAGTCTAGGCAGCTTACAACATAAAAACATAACAATA